AAAGGGACAGGGATTCTCTCCGGCAAATGGGTCTTCCGCGTGAAGACCGCAGCGGACGGCACGATCGAGCGATTTAAGGCACGATGGGTCGTGCGCGGCTACGATCAGAGGCACGGCATTGACTTCGACCAGACATTTGCGCCGGTCAGCTGCCACACCTCCGTGAGAATTCTGCTCGCCATCGCTGCCGCAAGGCACCTTCCGCTGCGCCAAATCGACGTGAAGAACACGTTTCTTTACGCAATGGTGGATGCAGTAATCTACGTGGAGTAGCCGCACACATACGGCGAAGGGGATTCGCCCGTGTGCTAGCTACGAAAATCCCTCTACGGGATCAAACAGGCGCCAAGGCTCTGGCAGTTACACAACATCCTGCTTGAGATAGGCTTCAAGCAGCTGTCCCATGATCCCGGGATGTACCGCCGCGACTTCCGCAGGGACTACATTCTGCTCACCGCCTACATCGGCGATCTGCTCTACACAGGATCGAGCAACGAGTTGCTTAAACAATTCGAAAAGAACCTGGCGGGGCGCGTCGACATTACCTGTAACCACGACGTGAAGCAGTTCCCAGGACTGAATATCTCCTACGCGCCAGAAGTTGTTCACCTCTCAGCGGCTAAGTATGCAGAGGAACTTGGTATACGCTTCAACATTTCGCCTGCGCCGCTTTCCACCCCTTACCGCACTCGCGGACCGAATCACAAACCTGACAACAAAGCCCTATCCCCCGCTGGAGTTCAGACTTACCAACAGCAGCTGGGTTGCCTGCTCTTCGCCTCAGTGATATGCAGGCCTGATCTTTCCTACATCGCGAGCCAACTGGCTCAGTACTCCCGCAAACCAACGGCTGAGAACCTTCTGGACCTGTAGCGCGCTCTACAATTCTTCATTTCCACGCCCAAAATTGGGCTCTGCTACTCAACAGTGCCAACTCCATCCTTCAACCTCATCGGCTACGTGGATGCCGATCACGCAGCAGACCCCGACAATCGACAGTCCAGAACTGGGTTCATGTTTCGCCTCGAGCCAACTGGACCAATCTCATGGAACTCGTAGAAGCAGGAGTTGGTTGCCCTGTCATCAGCCGAAGCGGACCAAGTTCATCGCCGCAACAGCAGTAGTTCGCGAAGGCCTCTACCTACAGGAACTCCTGCAAGAGGCGAAAATTCCAGCTTCGCCCACCTTCCGCCGGCACTGCGACAACCAGAGCGCGATCCGCATCGCAAACTGTCAGAATGAACGAGCAGGAATGATTGCATTGAAGAGAGTCTGGGTACAAGTACTAACCCTAACATTGGGTTGTATCCCATATGGGCTACCCCACTACAGCCTACACAGGACTAACACATATATAGTTTGACACACCCCCATAGGCAAAGTGGGGGAGAACAAAGGGTCACAAGACCAGTCAAGAAAAGCAAGCAAGCCCAGGGTGGATCACAACGTCACCACACACACTGAGCACAAACAAAGGGCCACAAGGCCAGTTCACATGCAGAGGCATATATGCAACAACAACAGTAGAGTGATCACTACCTAGCAGGAGTAGGCATGCAGGTATATAATATAGATCACAGTACAAGCAAAGTCAAGAGGTAAGCAAGTGAGCAAACACTGGCACCAGGCCTAAAGCTGTGCAAAAGCGCTGATGGTCACAAGGCGGAAGTGCCTTGGTGAACACATCAGCAGTGTTGGCCCTGGTGGCCACGTAAGAAACACGAAGCTGACCACGCTGCTACAACTCTCGAGCAAGGAAGTAACGCAGAGCGATGTGCTTTGTTCTGTGCTCCAGTCTGTGCTCCTGACACAAGGTAATAGCAGCCTTGTTGTCTACGTACAGAACTGGAGGAGAACGAGGCCTCTCTCCCAAGTCGGTCAGCAGGTAGGTGAGCCAGCGTAACTCCTGAGCAGCCATGGCTGTGGCGTAGATCTCAGCCTCACAACTGGAGCTGAGAACAGAAGACGAGCGGGTAGACCGCCAAGAAACAGAGCCGGAGCCAAGGCTGAACGTGTAACCCTGTGACGACCGCTGCGTAGCCAGGTCGTCGACCCAAGAAGCGTCGGAGTGTCCAGTGAGGACAACGTCACCCCGTCCTCCAAGCACGAGCCCCATGCCCGATGTACTGCACAAGTAGCGTAACACCCTCTTAGCAGCCTCCCAGTGCTCTCACCGCTCTCTCCCGGGCGCAACGTAACGAGCCAGGATGCTAAGAGGGTACGCAAGGTCAGGTCGAGTGCAGGTCATCAGGTACATGAGGCAGCCCACAAGCTCTGGATACGGGCCACTCGGCTCTACGGACTCATCCGAAGGTAGAGCTAAGTGCGAGTGACCCGTAGCCATAGGAGTGGACTGTGGCGAGGACCAAGTGAAGCCGAAGCGCTGAAGGACCTGCTGCACCATGTGTGACTGAGTCAGGGTGATGGTGCGGCGTGCTCTGTCCCGGGTGATTTGCAAGCCAAGGTAACTGCGCAGCTCACCCAGGTCCGTGCACGTGTGTCGCTTCTGCAGCTCCGACTTCACAAGAGCGAGTGCCTCAGTGTCAGCAGTGGCAAAGACCAAGTCGTCGACGTACACGAGGATGTAGAACGGCAGCAGCGAGGCATCGGTGCGTAGAAACAGCGACGGGTCAGCAGTGGAAGGAGCAAACCCAAGAGCCGCCAGTGTCGTCCTCAGTGTGTCGTGCCACTTACGAGGTGCGTGACGGAGACCATAGACTGGCCGGCGGAGGCTCCACTGGGTACCAAGAGGAAACGACCCAGTGAAGCCAGGTGGGCGGCGCAGCCAGATCTCCTCGTGCAAACTGCCCTGTAAGAATGCTGTGCTGAAGTCAAGAGAGTGAAGCTCGTAGTCACGCTCAGCGGCAACGTGCAGCAGCACCCGAAGAGTGGTCATCTTCGGGGTAGGGGAGAAGGTCTGGAAGAAGTCAACTCCCTGTCGCCTTGTGCAACGTAACGAGCCTTGAAGACAGGCGGAGAACTCGGCGGCCGCTTCACCCTGAAAATCCACATGCCATCGACGATGTTCGCCCCAGGAGGGGGAACCTCGTCGACGTAAGTGCCTGTGGACTTCCAGGATGCCATCTCTGCGTCCATGGCTGTCTGCCACTGAGAGGAGTAGGGACCCTCAATCGCCTCTGCGTAAGAGCGCGGGGTCGGGATGTCCAGTGCATCCGGGTCTCCCTCAGGAGCAAGCAGCATGGCCACGAGATGAGGTGCAGCGGCTGCAAGACACTCAAAGTCCTCCTGCCTGTCCTCAAGGACGTTCGTGCCAAGAGCACACTCACCCCCGACGGACGGAGGACAGACAGACTCAGACTCAGCAACAAGACTAGCAGCGTAGTCAAGACGACAGACAGCAGCAAAGTCAACAAGCTCAGAGACTAGGGCAGACGCAGCAGCAGACTCAAACGACAGGTCAAAGACAACAGTGGCGAGCAGACGCGTGACAGTAGGGTGAGCAGCACGAACCAGGTCAGACTCAGGGTCCGGAACGTCAGACAGAGAGGACGCAGGAGGAGACGGTAGGGGGACACGCTGCGGAGCAGAGGAGGGACGAAGTGCCATAGTGTGAGTACCAGGCACAGGAGGAGGACGCGGACGCGGGACTCGACGAGCACGGCGAACAGTGCGAACAGGGGAGGCAGGACGAGACTCAGGCTCACGATGCTCTGTAAGCGAGTCAGTCTGCTCAGTGTAAGGAGAAGGAGCGGGCAGTGGGGAGCCTGGCTGTAACGGGAGGCCAGTAGAAGACGGGAGGCTAAGAACCTGGCGAAGCATGGAGTCAGGCGGTGGCAGCGTCGACGGTGACGGCGGAGCGAAAGACAGCCGCGGCTGTGCAGTGTCACCAGCACTTGTAGCGCCAGCGCCTCCAGCAGCTCAAGAGCCTCCAGCTCCAGCGCCTCCAGCAGCTCCAGAACCTCCAGCTCCAGGGCCTCCCGCCTCAGGACCTCCAGGCGCAGCTCCCCCAGAACCGGCACCTCCAGCTCCAGGCTCTCCAGCAGCAGCACACCCAAAACCGGCACCTCCCGCTCCAGGGTCTCCAGCCTCAGAACGACCAGCAGCAGCACCCCCAGAACCGGCACCTCCAGCTCCAGGCTCTCCAGCCCCAGTGCCTCCAGCAGCAGCACCCCCAGAACCGGCACCTCCAGCGCCAGGGTCTCCAGCCTCAGTGCCTCCAGCAGCAGCACCCCCAGAACCGGTAGCACCACCAGCTCCAGTAGCTGCAGCACCACCAGCTCCGGCAGCTCCAGCACCTCCAGTACGAGCACCTCCGGGACGAGCAGCGCCAGTACCACCAGCACCTCCAGCACCAGCAGCACCACCAGCTCCGGCAGCTCCAGCAGCGACCACCATGACGAGCACCTCCGGGACGAGCAGTGCCAGCACTACCAGCACCTCCAGCACCAGCAGCACCACCAGCCCCGGCAGCTCCAGTACCTCCAGGACGAGCACCTCCGGGACTAGTAGTGCCAGCACCACCAGCACCTCCAGCACCAGCAGCACCACCAGCCCCGGCAGCTCCAGTACCTCCAGGACGAGCACCTCCGGGAATAGCAGTGCCAGCTCCTCCGGTACCGGTAGCTCCAGGGCCTCTAGCTCCAGCAGCTCCACGCGGAAGGCAGTAGCGCTGAGTGTACCACTCGCGCAGCTGCTGTGGTGAGAGAGGCTCCCGCCGGCTAGACTGCTGGGGCGAAGCCCGAGAGAACCGCCAGGACCAGTAGACGTAGCACCACCAGGCTCAGCACCCCCAGAAGCAGCACCCCCAGGCTCAGCACCCCTAGGCTCAGCACCCCTAGGCTCCTCCCGCTCTGGCGTAGCACCCCCAGGCTCAGCACCCCCAGACGCAGCACCCCCAGGCCCCACACGCGCAGGCCCCTCACTCGCAGGCTCAACTCCCCCAGGCACAACACCCCCAGACGCAGCACCCCGAGCAGCACCACCCTCAGCGGCACCTGAGTCACCAGTGACCTCGACAGGCTCAGGCAAGGGAGGCGGGTCTACCTGAGACACACCTGAAGGAGCAGGACCCTGAGGGGGGGGGGGGGGTCAACCGGAGGGGAACCTGGAGCAAGGAAGAGGGGCGGCGGGGGGAGAGGGGTAGTGCGGTAGGGAAAGAGGCGGTAGAAGGGAACCGACTCGTCAAACGTGACGTCCTGAGAGGCAAACACCCGACGCGACGTGGGGTGGTAAAACTGCCAGCCAGGCGCGTCAGGGGGAAAACCAAGGAAGACGCAGGGAATGGCGCGAGCGGAGAGCTTGTCCGCGGTGGTATCGCGGACAAAGGCACGAGAACCCCAGACCCGGAACACCGACGCATCGCCAACCTCCCCCGTCCAACGCAGTGTGGGCGAGGTCTCTGGCAAGGAGACACGGGGCCAGAGGTTGAGCTGATGCGCAGCGTACCGGACTGCAAACGGCCACAGAAAATGGGGAGCCACCGCATGGATCATGGAGGTACGAGCGACCTCCATGACTAAGCCAATGTGGCGCTCAGCAACCCCATTCTGCTGCAGAGAGGCCGGAAGCGTGAACGACTGGAGGATGCCCTCCCCCTGACAGAAGTCTTGCAAGAGGTCAGAGGAGAACTCACCACCTCTGTCAGAGTGCAGACGCAGGACGGGAAACTCCGTCCCGAACCGCTCGCGGAGCTGGAGACGCACAGCGCGGATCCAAGGGATCAAAACAGCAGGGACTTCACCCTTGCTGCGCAAGGGGAAGACCGTGGTGTAACGCGAGTAGTCGTCGACAACCAGCAGAAAGTACCGCTCGCGGCCCTGTCCTTGGACGCGGGCTGGGCCCCACACGTCCAGGTGGAGAGTCTGCAGGGGAGCATCTGTCGGGGGAAACGAGGAGGAGTGAGGAGCGGCGCGCTGCCGTCCCTCGACGCAAGGAATGCAGGGCGGGGCAGGCGAGGGCGGGAGGGAAGGCAGAGACCTGGGAAGACCAGAGACCAGGTAGCGAGAGTGCATGCCACGCAGGCGTGGCAAGGAGGGGTGACCAAGGCGGTGGTGCCAAAGGAGAGTCTGGTGCGATAGGTGACGACACTCGCAGGGGGGGGCTACCAGACCTGACGCAGCCACCTGACCAGACGCAGCTGTCAAACTATGTATGTTCTACTTGTGTAGGCTGTAGTGGGGTAGCCCATATGGGGTACAACCCAATTACTTGTACTCCTGCATGCTGCTAGTTCATCCATTCTCGCCTAGACATTCTGAGATGGTATCAGAGCGGTTCGTCCGTTAGGACCGTTCTTGGGCCCACCGAACGCATGCCTACCTGCGGTTACCGCGCTGCCCCACACGCGCCCTGCCTTACCTGCTCGTCGCGTCGCCCTAAGCCCGCGCCCGGCCACCTGCTTGCCCGTCACGTCACCCTCACGCCCGCGACCGGTCACCTGCCTGCCCGTCACGGTGCCCTTAGGCCCGCGCGACCCCGCCCTACCGCAGCAGCGGCTTCACCGGGTAGCGGCCCCTCCCTGCCACCAACGCGGCCCCGTCCTACCACTGCCGCTGACACTGCCCCACCCTGCAGCTGACGCGGCCTTCCTCTGCAGCCAGGTTTGCGGCCCCGCTGCCCGCCACGCGCCGGCCCTCCCTGCCACCGGTGAGCACGCTGCTGCGCCGCCTGCCTGCCTGCCTGCCTGCCTGCCTGCCTGCCTGCGTGCCTGCTGCGCTGCTGCTCCTACTACCCGTGCTGCTCCTGGCGGTGGCCAGATGCAGCTCCAGTGCCGTCCGCGCGAGTCTCTCACGCCCCAGCAGCTTCGTGAGTGGTACGCTAGTTGGGGTTGTGGCGGTAGCCGTCGTGGCTGTCGCACTGCAGCTGGGCGGTCGGGAGCGTCTGGTAGTGGCCAGCTGCAGCTGCAGCGGCGTCCGCGCGAGACACTTTCGCCCCAGCAGCTTCATGAGTGGTACGCTCAGAGTAGAGGGTCTCAGAGTACCGTTCGCTGCCCGTACGTCATTCGCACAGGTGCTCGGACTGGTCAGGCTTGCGGGACGCCTGGTCACACACAGTCCCGCTGCTTCGCCCGTCTGAGCGACGCCTGGCGTACCGAGTTTGGCGACGAGGCTGAGCTCCCCACCTGGCTGGAGCTGCTTAGGCAGAGGGTAGATATCTTTGCTCTTGACTATGATGCTATTCTCACTGCCATGTATGCATTGCCTACTAGTACGGACGGTGCCTGTTACCTGTGCGTACCGCCTGACCCAGGTATAGACCCTGCTGCTCTAGGTGCTGGTGAGGCTGCTGCTCTAGGTGCTAGTGCGTCTCCTACTCTAGGTGCTGGTGAGGCTGCTGCTCTCGGTGCTAGTGCGTCTCCTGCTCTAGGTACTGGTGAGGCTGCTGCTTCAGGTGTTGGTGAGTCTGCTCTCTCTGGTACTGCGCCTGCTGCGGTCTTGCACACCTTCACCCTTGACTCAAGAGCTTCTCGCTCCTTCTTTCGCGACTGCACCACACTCACGCCGCTTAGTCGGCCAGTTGCAGTCTCCCTGGCGGACCCCTCTGGGGGTCCTGTCCTTGCCCACTACTCCACGGTTTTGCCGTGTCCGGCCGCCCCGTCTGGCTCGCTGTCAGGTCTCTACCTCCCCTCGTTCTCTACGAACTTGGTGAGTGGAGCTAACCTCCAGGATGGCGGGGTTGACCAGTTCACTCCTGCGAGTCAGCGAGTGACCCACTGTACGTGTGCTCGGACGGGCCGACACCTGGCCACGTTTACCCGTGCGCCTGGCTCGAGTCTGTACACACTGACCACTGTGTCCCCTCAGGTAGTTGCGTCTGCGTCTGCGTCAGGTCAGCTGGCGGCCCCCTGCTCGTGTCGCGCTTTGTCGCACCAGACCCTCCTTTGGCACCACCGCCTTGGTCACCCCTCGGTGCAGCGCCTTCGTAGCATGCACCGCCGTGTCCTTGTCTCTGGTCTTCCCAGGGTTCTCCCTCCCCTCCCAGACTCGCCTGCTCCTCCCTGTCTTCCCTGTGTCGAGGGGCGGCAGCGCGCCGCTCCTCACTCCTCCTCGTTCCCTCCCACAGAGGCTCCCCTGCAGACTCTCCACCTGGACGTGTGGGGCCCAGCCCGCGTCCGTGGACAGGGCCACGAGCGGTACTTCCTGCTGGTCGTCGACGACTACACGCGTTACACCACGGTCTTCCCCTTGCAGCGCAAGGGGGATGTCCCTGCTGTTTTGATCCCTTGGATCCGCGCTGCCCGTCTCCAGCTCCGCGAGCGGTTCGGGACGGAGTTTCCCGTCCTGCGTCTGCACTCTGACAGAGGTGGTGAGTTCTCCTCAGACCTCTTGGCAGCCTTCTGTGCGGAGCACGACATCCGCCAGACGTTCACGCTTCCGGCCTCTCCGCAGCAGAATGGGGTTGCTGAGTGCCGCATTGGCTTAGTCATGGAGGTCGCTCGTACCTCCATGATCCATGCAGCTGCCCCCCATTTTCTGTGGCCGTTTGCGGTCAGGTACGCCGCGCATCAGCTCAACCTCTGGCCCCGTGTCTCCTTACCGGAGACCTCGCCCACGCTGCTGTGGACGGGGAAGGTTGGCGATGCGTCGCGTTTCCGAGTCTGGGGTGCTCGTGCCTTTGTCCGCGATACCTCCGCGGACAAGCTCTCCGCCCGCGCTGTTCCCTGTGTCTTCCTTGGCTTTCCCCCTGACGCGCCTGGTTGGCAGTTTTACCACCCCACCTCGCGCCGAGTCTTTGCGTCTCAGGACGTCACGTTCGACGAGTCGGTTCCCTTTTACCGTCTCTTCCCCTACCGCACTGCCCCTCTCCCCCCCCCGCCGCTCTTTCTCGCTCCAGGTGCTCCCCAGGTAGACCCCCTCCCCGCTCCCGGTCCTGCTCCTTCAGGTGTGTCTCAGGTTGACCCTCCTCCCTTGACTGAGCCGGTTGAGGTCACTGGTGACTCAGGTCCTGCTGCGGGTGGTCCTGCTTGGGGTCCTACTTCTGGGGGTGCTGAGCCTGGGGGTGCGGAGCCTGGGGGTGCTGAGCCTGGGGGTGCGGAGCCTGAGGGTGCGGAGCCTGGAGGTGCTGAGCCTGAGTGTAAGTAGTCTGGGGGTGCTGAGCTTGGGGGTACTGAGTCTGGGGGTGCTGCACCTGGGGGCGCTGAGGCGTCTGGTGAGCAGTCTCCCTGGAGCGGCCGTCTCCGTAGTCGCTCCGCTGGTGCCTCGCCGCTACGCTCTCGTCACCTACTTCCTCTCTCCCCACAGCAGCTGCGTGAGTGGTACGTTGGCCGTCAGGGTCGCGCTGCTGGAGCTGGGGGCCGTGCTGTTGGAGGTGCTGGAGCTTGTGACTCTACTCCTGGAGTTGTTTCTGCTGGAGATCTTGGAGCTGCTGAGGGTGCTAGCGCTGGAGGTTCTGGAGCTGCTGGAGGTGCTGGCACTGGTGGCGCTGGAGCTGGAGGTTCTGGAGCTGCTGAGGGTGCTGGCGCTGGAGGTTCTGGAGCTACTGGAGGTGCTGGCGCTGGTGGCGCTGGAGCTGGAGGTTCTGGAGCTGCTGAGGGTGCTGGCGCTGGAGGTTCTGGAGCTACTGGAGGTGCTGGCGCTGGTGGCGCTGGAGCTGGAGGTTCTGGAGCTGCTGAGGGTGCTGGCGCTGGAGGTTCTGGAGCTACTGGAGGTGCTGGCGCTGGTGGCGCTGGAGCTGGAGGTTCTGGAGCTGCTACGGGTGCTGGTTCTCGAGGTTCTGGAGCTGCTGCGGGTCCTGGAGCTAAGGGTTCTGAGTCTGCTGTTGCGCGGTCCCCTTGGAGTAGCCGCCTTCGTCCGCGTGTGCCGCTCACGTCACAGCAGCTCCGCGACTGGTACGGTCGCCGTCCGGGTCGAGCTGCTGGAGCTCGGAGTTTTGCTGCTGGAGGTGCTGCTGCTGACGTTGCTGGAGCTGAGCCTGCGGGTGCTACTGCTGGAGGCCTTGGGTCTGGGGGTGCTGCTGCTGGTGGAGCTGGTCCTAGAGGGGCTGGCGCTGGGAGTTCTGGAGCTGCTGGAGGTACTGGAGCTGCTGGTGCTGGTGGCACTGCACCCCCGCGACTGTTCTTCGCTCCACCGTCTCCGTCGTCTCAGCCACCGCCTGACACTGTACTTAGTCAGGTTCTCAGCCTCCCGTCTTCTACTGGTCTTTCGTTACAGCCTGGGACGCCGCTGCCTGCTCCTTCCCCTTACACTGAGCAGGCAGGAGGTCTTGCTGAGCGTCGTGAGCCTGCGTCGCGTCCTGTCTCGCCTGTTCGTTCTGGTCGTACCAATCATCGTGTTCCTCGTCCGCGTTCGCCGGCTGTCCCCAGCGCGCACCTCGTCGTCCGTCGTCCTTTCTCTGCTCCGCAGTCTGTTCCTTTGCCGTCTCCTCCTGCGTCCTCTCTGCCTGTCGTTGCAGACCCTGAGTTTGACCGGTTTTGTGCTGAGCACCCTACTGTCACGCGTCTGTTAGCCACTGTTGTCACCGACCCGTCGTTTGAGTCTGCTGCTGCGTCTGCCTTGGTCGCTGAGCTTGTCGACTTTGCTGCTGCCTGTCGTCTAGACTACGCTGCCAGTCTAGTTGCTGAGTCTGAGTCTGTCTGTCCTCCGTCCGTCGGGGGTGAGTGTGCTCTTGGCACGGACGTCCTTGAGGACAAACAGGAGGACCTTGAGTGTCTTGCGGCCGCTGCGCCTCATCTCGTGGCCATGCTGCTTGCCCCTGAGGGAGACCCGGAAACTATAGACATCCCGACCCCGCGCTCTTACGCTGAGGCGATCGCGGGCCCCTACTCCTCTCAGTGGCAGACAGCCATGGACGCAGAGATGGCATCCTGGAAGTCCACAGGCACTTACGTCGATGAGGTTCCCCCTCCAGGGGCGAACATCGTTGATGGCATGTGGATTTTCAGGGTGAAGCGGCCGCCAGGTTCTCCGCCTGTCTTCAAGGCTCGTTACGTTGCTCGAGGCTTCAGTCAGCGAGAGGGAGTCGACTTCTTCCAGACCTTCTCTCCCACCCCAAAGATGACCACTCTTCGGGTGCTGCTGCACGTTGCCGCTCAGCGTGACTACGAGCTTCACTCACTGGACTTCAGCACAGCCTTCTTACAGGGCAGTCTGCACGAGGAGATCTGGCTGCGCCGCCCACCTGGCTTCACTGGGTCGTTCCCGCCTGGTACCCAGTGGAGCCTCCGGCGGCCAGTCTACGGTCTCTGCCAGGCGCCTCGTGAGTGGCACGACACACTGAGGGCGACACTTGCGGCTCTTGGGTTTGCTCCTTCGACTGCTGACCCGTCGCTGTTTCTGCGCACCGACACTTCGCTGCCGCCGTTCTACATCCTCGTGTACGTCGACGACTTGGTCTTTGCCACTGCTGACACTGAGGCTCTCGCCCTGGTGAAGTCGGAGCTGCAGAAGAGACACACGTGCACAGACCTGGGTGAGCTGCGCAGCTACCTTGGCTTGCAGATCACCCGGGACAGAGCACGCCGCACCATCACTCTGACTCAGTCTCACATGGTGCAGCAGGTCCTTCAGCGCTTCGGCTTCACCTGGTCCTCGCCACAGTCCACTCCTCTGGCTACAGGTCACTCGCTCTCAGCTCCACCTTCGGACGAGTCCGTAGAGCCGAGTGGTCCTTACCCAGAGTTAGTGGGCTGCCTCATGTACCTGATGACCTGCACTCGTCCTGACCTTGCGTACCCTCTTGGCCTTCTGGCCCGTTACGTGGCTCCTGGTCGACACCGAAAGGTGCACTGGGATGCTGCGAAGAGGGTACTGCGCTACCTGTGCAGTACATCGGGCATGGGGCTCGTGCTTGGAGGGCAGAGAGACGTGGTTCTCACTGGGCACTCTGACGCTTCTTGGGTTGACGACCAGGCTACACAGCGGTCGTCTCAGGGTTACACTTTCAGCCTTGGCTCTGGTTCTGTTTCTTGGCGTTCTACTCGCTCGTCTTCTATTCTCAGCTCTAGTTGTGAGGCTGAGATCTACGCCACAGCCATGGCTGCACAGGAGTTACGCTGGCTCACTTACCTGCTGACTGACCTGGGAGAGCGGCCTTGTTCTCCTCCAGTGCTCTACGTCGACAACAAGGCCGCCATTGCCTTGTGCGAGGAGCACAGACTGGAGCACAGAACGAAGCACATCGCTCTGCGTTACTTCCTGGCTCGAGAGCTGCAGCAGCGAGGTCAGCTTCGTCTTGCTCACGTGGCCACCCAGGCCAACACTGCTGATATATTCACCAAGGCACTTTCGTCTGGTGATCATCAGCGCTTTTGTACCCTGTTAGGCCTTGTGCCTACGTTTCCACACTTGTTGTAGACTCTGCTTGTACAGTGTTCTCTATATATATACCTGCATGCTTGCTCTTGCTAGGTAGAGATCACTGTGCTGTTCTTGCTGCATATATAATTCTTCATGTGAACTGGCCTTCTGGCCCTTTGCTTGTGCTCAGAGTGTGTGGTGACGTTGTGATCCACCCTAAGCTTGCTTTGCTTCTCTAGACTGGTCTTGTGACCACTTGTTCTCCCCCACTTTGCCTATGGGGGTGTGTCAAACTATGTATGTTCTACTTGTATAGGCTGTAGTGGGGTAGCCCATATGGGGTACAACCCAATTAGGGTTTACTACTTGTACTCCTGCATGCTGCTAGTTCATCCATTCTCGCCTAGACATTCTGATAGCAGCAACCTGGGGAGGCTCAGTAGTCAGTGTGTACAGACTCGACCCAGGACGATGGGTAAACGTGGCCAGGTGACGGCCCGTCCGTGCACACGTGCAGATCGCCACACGCTGGCCTCCAGGGATAAAGGTATTAACCCACTCATCCTGAAGAGCTGCGTTACTCACCAAGTTCGTCGAGAACGAGGGGAGGTGGAGACCTGATAGCGACCAGAACTCGGAGACTTCCCACGCTGGAAATACCACTCACGAAGCTGCTGGGGTGGAAGGGTGACGCGCGGACCTCGCTGAAGCTGCAGCTGGCCACCACCAGAACCTCCCCACTGAAAGGCTCCACCTCGACTGCCGCTGCGGCCGCCTCCACCACTCCCACCGCTGCCCCCACCACCGCCACGACTCCCACCACTACCTCTAAGAGAAGCCATAGTGAGCAGAGGAAGGAGGTAGGGCAGGGCAAGGCAGGAACGGAGACGCACGGGCTGCAGAGGGCGACGTGTAGGTGGGCAGGAGGTGAGCTCTCGGGCTGGGAGAGTAGCGCGCTGGCTAGCAGAGCGGGGCGCGGGATTCGGGACGGAGCTCGGCAGGGCAGGGCGGGCGTAGGGCAAGGCAGGGCCGGGCGCGCGGGCTAGCAGAGCGCTGCGCGGGCGGACAGGGCGGCGCGCAGGCCGGCAGGGGCGGCGCGCGGGCTCTGCGGCGGTGCACGGCAAGGGTAGGGGCCGCGTGCAGGCTCTGGGGCGGAGCGACGGGCAGGCAGGGGCGGCGCGCGGGCTCTAGGGCGGCGCGACGGGCAGGCAGGGGCGGCGCGTGAGTCCTAGGGCGACGCGACGGGCAGGGCAGGGCGTCGCGCGGGTCCTAGGGCGACGCGACGGGCAGGGCAGGGCGTCGCGCGGGTCCTAGGGCGATGTGACGAGCAGGGCAGGGCGTCGCGCGGGTCCTAGGGCGACGCGACGGGCAGGGCAGGGCGTCGCGCAGGTCCTAGGGCGACGCGACGGGCAGGGCAGGGCGTCGCGCGGGTCCTAGGGCGACGCGACGGGCAGGGCAGGGCGTCGCGCGGGTCCTAGGGCGACGCGACGAGCAAGGCAGGGCGCCGCGCGTGTCCTGGGGCGACGCGACGGGCTGGGCAGGGCGTCACGCGTGTCCTAGGGCGACGCGACGGTCAGGGCAGGGCGTGCGCGGTCAGGGCAGGGCGTGCGCGGGGCAGCGCGACGCGGGGCAGGGCAGCGCGACGCAGGGCAGGGCGTGCGCGGGGCAGCGCAACTCAGGGCAGAGCAGGGCGTGCGCGGGGCGGCGCAACGCAGGGCAGGGCAGGGCATGCGCTGGTAGCGCGACGCAGGGCAGGGCGTGGGGTAGCGCGGTAACCGCAGTCGGTCACTAGCTAATGGTGGGCCCGGAAAAAACGGTCCTACGGACCTACTGCTCTGATACCATGTCAGAATCAACGAGCAGGAATGATTGCATTGAAGAGAGTCTGGGTACAAGCACTAACCCTAACATTGGGTTGTACCCCATATGGGCTACCCCACTACAGCCTACACAGGACTAACACATATATAGTTTGACACAAACAAGCCTGGATTCGTTAACCGCACCAAATCCATCGCGCTGCGGTACTTCTTCGTCAAGGACGAAGTGGACAAAGGCAAGGTTGACTTGACCTATTGCCCGACCGGTGACATGGCAACTGACTTCCTAACGAAGCGACTGCCACGGCAGCAGTACCAGCACTGTTCCGAACTCAGCGGAGTGGTCAAGCAGGTCAAGTCGAGCTACGGTCAGGAGTGAAGGGGGGTGTTACGAATGGTAAATTGAAAAGAGAAGTGTGCACTCCTGACAGCAGCAAATGAGTCACACTGTATTGAAGCCTGGAAGAAGGAAGAGTCAGAAATGACTCGAAGCGACGCAGACAGTTGGATGCATCTGGACAGGGCCCAAAATTGGTCTAGGCCCACCCTGTCGAACCAGAGTCGAGCCCCGTCTCACCCTGACTCTCTAGGGTAAAATTTTCGCAAGGCTGACGAATACAGTGTAAATTTTTTCCCAGCCTGATGGCGTCATTGTAACTATTTCCAAAGACTGTTTTGCAGGGTACTACTTTCGTTACACTGACATTAGTCCAACACAGCAATCGTTGACTAATTAGGGCTACTTGTAGCTAGCAATGGCACTACTTCTCTCACATGCAGTATTCACTTCACTCAGTACTTGGCAAGCTACTCTGCAAACCACCACTGTCGCCCACAAACTGGGTGTCGCTCTGCCTGGTCCCGTTGAAGTCTGTGGTGGGGCGCCTGAGCTTCTCCCCCCTGAAAATCGCCACCACCTCGAACCAGTCAACTTCGTACTCGAGCAAGGAGCAGCGCATGAGATGGTCGAGGCTGCTGTCAGAGAAGCTGCCGCGGTCCCAGGTTTTGATCAAGTTCTGCTTGCTGAAGCCTCTCTCACACTCGACAGTGCTAAGAGGCAGGACCGCTACTGCTTGCCAGAGCAGCATGATGTTGGGGAAGGACTGCTGCCATGAATCATCGCGCAGCATGTTGGCTAGAGCTTGGTGGAAGTCTTCACTGTGATGCTGGGAAAACATGGTACTCGTGAACATCCACAACTCGGCCCGCGCTTTGCTGTAGTTGAACCCTGTTGATCGGGGAGTAAAGCTCATAAAGAAACTTGCAGAGGTCGGGAGGAGAGGGCGGTTTTAAACCAAACAGCCGAGGAATCAACACAGCACGACAACAATCAATCAACACCAACAATCACCCAAGAAATTCAGCAACCACAAACAGTTTCCAAACCAGGTACGGATTTCGTACCAGGGAGTGCATCGTGGTAGAGCTTGTGGAGTTGCTGCAGCCATCGTTTGAAGGCAGCGAGCCGCTTGTCATCATCTGCAAGGTATGAAGCGGTATCAAACAGCTTCGCGCCTTCCAGGTTCTTGAAGTCACGATACCGCCACTCCAGCTCCTCGTCCACCTTGCGCACGAACTTCAGCGACAGTTCGTAGCAGGTAGCCACAAGGCCCGGCGTTTCCTTCCCCTCAGAGTCACGTTCGTGCAAGTCGAATTTGAAGGTGACCGGATTTCCCTCGCCATCAACCCCTTCGGCCTTCATCTGCCGCTTCTCCTACAATTGGTGGTTCTTGATGAACTCTAGAAGGCGCATCCTCTCCCCGCTCCCAAACTGGTGGCCTTGTTGAGCGCTGCTGTAGCGTGCCTTCAGTCGCATCCGCGTCTGCTCGACGAGACGGCCCACCAGTGTGATGTCAATCTGTAAATGCACAACACGCTGTGTCAGCAGGGGAGAACTACTACATGTCAACAAATTGCAATGGTAGGTATCACATCATACCTTCCTCTGCTGGAACCGCAAGTTGAGCGAGTTGAGCTCCGACAGCACATCCACCAAAAACCAAAGGAGCCAGTGGAATTTGAACGAGGTGACCACCTCGTACAAATCCTGGCGGTACTCCTTCAGCAAGACAATAGCAGCAGGTAACACATCCAGCAGGCGCTCCAGTGCCTCCCCACGGGACAGCCAGCGCGCGTCGAAAATACCTTGCGCCTCGAGGTTAGTCTTGCAAAACACCTGTTGCAGATTCTGGAACTTCTGGTACTTGACCCCACTTCGGCCGAGAATGTTTGAGAATGCGCGGACCACCTCGTCCTCGTCCGCGGACGCCAAGCACGGAGAGGCCGTTACGGCGAGGTTCTGGTGGATCCGCGGGATCTTGCTCGACTGGTTAGCGGGAGAGGTAGGCGTGGGGGTGGAACAATGAAACGCCTGGTGAAGAAAGAACGGGGCGAGCAAGAAAGGAAAGGACCCCTCCCATTCACAACCACCAACCCACCCACGACGCGCCCATGCATGCATGGATCAGATCTGTGCAGCACGTGAAGATGCAGTGTGGTGTTGGCAGTTCCTTGTGTGGCTGCGCACCTTCAGCAACAACGGCGCGCAGCCAAGTAACGCTGGCAAACATATCTGCCTTGGTGGCAGATATGTTGCCAATCGGTCCAATGGTGGGTCTCCGCGCAGCGGGGGAAAATTTTTGCAGAGCACGTTGGGAACACAGAGCAGGGCGACAGGGCGTTACGTGAGGGCTGCAGTGCATCTGGGGGAATCCACGCTAAGGGAGACTCGGTTTCAGGGTAACTAAGGGCCCACCCTTTCTACACAGGGAAACGAAACGCCTACGCTGAATTTGTAAGGGTAACAAAAAAAACCATTTTTTGGGAGAAAGGGTAACACAAATCATATCCGGCCTAGATCAGGGTAACAAGAAAAAAGCGGCCTACAGAAAGGGCAAAAAGGGTATTTTACCCTGATATCTTGGGCCCTGCATCTGGACCGTCGGCATGAAACGGCATCGGCAGCCGTAAGGACGAAGGAATTGGCAGGAACAGTTTCGTAACTGTTCGAGTCGCACGGTTGGGTTTGAATTTGAATAAGGGAATGTACCCCTTAGAGTATATGGCTAGCTAGGTCGTTTCGTATTCCCCTGTACTACTACTTATATGCCCATGTTCGCATATTTTTATTATCTCAATTATTGTACATTCACTCTGAATTGAGGTCAAGGGCCCACCACCAACTACACGACTTGTGCAAAACTTCCCGAGACGATCCTAGGTTACGATCAACTTCTG